GGTGGCCACTCCGTCATAAAAGTCATTAGTGTCCTTTCATTCACACTGATGTTCTTTGGTAACATTGTTCTTTCTTTTCATGTGACATCTTTTCGTAACATCAAACTATTATATTGCATACTTTTGACCTTTATTTCATCTTTGTATTTTTTAACTGGCGTCTGTTTGTTTTGTATTTTGACCTTTATTAGTCACATTTAATACTTTATTCGTAACATTTGACTATTATTGAGTACTTTTGTCCTTTATTTCAACTTGGTATTTTTTACGGAATGGCCACCCATAGAAAGGACTGTTTAAAAATACAATAATCCAGCTGTGCATATATATCGTCTGACCACCGACAATATGATATCATCCATTGTTCATAATGCCACAAATTGATTCCATTACTTCATCTGAAACTAAGACTGCCTTCATATGCATTATTTTCATTATCTCTCTTAAAATGTCCATGAGTGACATGTAGATAGCCTACTCGGAACTGGGAATTATGGATTGTTCATCCCTTGTCAATGAACGCTGTAAGTCCCTCACCAAAGATTAGGATTAACACCATTCATACACTCGAGACAAATAATCTGTGCTGCATCCCCCTTTTTGAAGTGTACTAATCATGTTGACGCATAAATAACACATAATAAATAATTTCGTGACATTTTTCCAAATTTATGACAATAATAGTACGACTATATTATCTCAGGCTCTTTGTTGCAGTATCCGTATATCTCGAAATCCACCACCCCGGTCGTCTGTTTGCTTATGAAAATCTAAGCAGGATGCTTCATCGAAACAGGACTCGTTGTGCTATGTCACTGCTCCTCGTGAGTAACACATTAACTTTTTATGATAGTTTCTGGAATGTTTATGAAGAGGACTAACCCCTACCTACATTCGAAATTGATTAGAAAAGAACCCGTTTGTTTTGACAAACTAAGTCCCTTGACCCAATCTAGGTCGTATGCATACTGATTATGCATAATCGCAAACAGGAAGTGATGTAAAGAACATATTCCACACGTATCATACCATTAAATAGCCATACCGCAATAAAATAGAGTTGCCTGCCCTTGAGTCACTATTGACAAGTACTTTGTTTACCGAAAGCAAAGAAAATCAACAGTGATCAATCCTTATTGATATGTCATAAAAGTTGAACAATGAACAAGATACATTTCGCATATGACATATTTAATAGGTAAGTAAGAGTGCATCATTACGATCCATTATAAATTTACTACTGTGATAATATAGTTTTCCATGTTAATTGACTATTTTGGGGTAGAAGTTGCTTCCCTAATTATTTCTATATATGTAGTGGCCATAAAAGTTACGAGTCCAGTGATGTGATTCAAACGACGGACCTTCTGATCCGAGGTCGGACATCATCTGTGGGATGGCTCCATGCCCTGTTAATACTCCCCCATCAACAGAAGGCCGCATAGTAAAGTACTGAGACTTATTTTGCTCAAATTTAATATGAACGTCTTCAGCCCTACTTTGGGCGCCAATGTAGCGACCATAAAATTTCCTAGTCCCGTGTTGGGATTCGAACCACAGATCTTCTCAAATGCCTTGTCCACATGATGAAAGAGGTAAGGTTACATCTGTTGGATGACTCCACACCCTGCTACACATTCATTGCTGATTTTTTTTCACTTTATGTGCACCCCTCTTCTGTATCTTTACTTGTATTGTTTATTTTAACATTACATATGTATTTAATAAAAATGTCTTCACTATTACGGGTTGGGGTGGTGGTGGGTGGGGCATGGGTTGCCTAGTCATCTAAGGCCCTGCAATTCACTGTGCAGAGTTGCGTCCCATAACCGTGCTCGTGGGTTTCACCGAAGTGGTAAACATCTCAGACCTGCATCACTTCGGGCTTTCTTCCCACATTAAGCTGACACGCCGCGATATAACTGGAATACTGTTTAAGCGGGCGTTAAACCCAACTCACTCACTTCACTATTACACTCATGTTTGACTTTGTTTCATAAACCTTTTGGATGAGTGCTTATACATGTTATTATACAATGTCAACACACTGTAATAATATCATCCTTTTTGTCAAAAGTGACACAAAATAACATATTTTTCTCACTTGAATTTTTTTTTAAATTACCAAACTTTAAAGAGTTAAAATCACTAAATTGTGTTACAACCATATTACCACAATGTCAGCTCTTGGATATATTCATAAGAATGAATAAAAGATTTCCAAACTTCTTACATAACATTTAACATATTTATGAGTAAAATATTGATTTGAAGCCATCAAAAACGTGAAACCCTATTTCTGTCACGAATACAGAACATGTGTTTGTAGAATTGTGGTAGCTGAATACATTGAAAGAGAGCATATGCTGGGAAATCAATCAGTGTTAATTTCACTGCTACGCCTGTCAATCAAAGTGTAAATCCAAATGAAATTTGCAAGGGAAACAAAGCTAATGCCTGTTTAACAGCCTTCCATGTGGGACTTGTTAATCAGGTACCAGGTATATCAGGTAGATTCTGATTCTCATCAATTTCAGACATCAGGTACGTCAGGTAGGTGCCTATTCTCGTCAATTTCAGACATCAGGTTTCACAAGTAGATCATGGATGTTGTTAATTTCAGGAAGTAGGTATACCAGACAGGTGCTGATTCTCGTCAATTTCAGGATTATTTGTGTAAAGTGTAACATAGATTCTAGACACACATAGCAAGACAACAGGCTAATTCGTTCTTGTCAATTACATTCAAAATGAGACAATGGTGTCATATTTTATAATCCTGTCTACACACTGATCCTTGAAACATCCCACACATCATACTTAATAATACCTCTCTCCATTTACCAATCACAATCAATAAACAAGCACTTAAACGGGAGTACAATGAAAAGGAAGGATTCGTTAACAACAGCATTCAAAGAATGTTTTAATCCATATGTAGAATTAAACAATAGAAACACCGAGGTCGAAACTCATAAATATCTCATTTAGAAGGCATTGTCTACCAGAAATAATTATATTTGTTCAGTGACGAAACCCTTTTGATGATCCCTGAGCCAGCCAATAATTAAATTACATGTGTTCATAACAACCACGGTTGGAGGAAGCATCTGTTTATATGCACCTATGAAGTATGACTATGCACAGCAAGAGGGACCAGTAAAATTGTCATAAAATGTAACAAACTTTCATCAATAACCTATCACATTTGATATCAGGCTTGCAACAGTGGAAAAAACAAGAGTGATTGATTAACAGGAACTGGATACAGGTTGGGTCCCTTTCACTTTTCTACCTTGTATAAGAGTACAACCCCTTAATCCGAACAGTACCAGTCCCAGTGAAACCACCTTTCTTAACATAATCCCAGTGGAATGCCTTGATTAAAACATTCACAGTGAAACTGCCTTGATTAAAACATTCACAGTGAAACTGCCTTGATTAAAACATTCACAGTGAAACTGCCTTGATTAAAACATTCACAGTGAAACTGCCCTGCTCAACACAATCCCAGTGGAACACCTTGATTAAAACATTCACAGTGAAACTGCCTTGATTAAAACATTCACAGTGAAACTGCCTTGATTAAAACATTCACAGTGAAACTGCCTTGATTAAAACATTCACAGTGAAACTGCCCTGCTCAACACAATCCAAGTGATATTGTGAGCGATGAATCAGTCCTTGGTATAAATATTCTGGAGGAATGACACTTCATATGTAGAAATTGACTGAGGGAAGGAAATACAATCCTCATCCCAGGTATATTGTTCGACAGGAACTAATACTCCTGGTATGTTCAGGGGGAACATATTTACTCTCACAAAGTCACCCTGATTCCAAGTAAAAACTTCCCTGATTAACACATTCACAGAGAAACTGCCCTGATTAAACATTCTCAGAGAAACTGCCCTGATTAAACATTCACAGAGAAACTGCCCCGATTAAACATTCACAGAGAAACTGCCCTGATTAAACATTCTCAGTAAAACCGACCCTGATTCAACATTCCCAGTGAAACCGCCCTGATTAAACATTCACAGAGAAACCGCCCTGATTAAACATTCACAGAGAAACTGCCCTGATTAAACATTCACAGAGAAACTGCCCTGATTCAACATTCTCAGTAAAACCGACCCTGATTCAACATTCACAGAGAAACTGCCCTGATTAAACATTCACAGAGAAACTGCCCTGATTCAACATTCACAGAGAAACTGCCCTGATTAAACATTCACAGAGAAACTGCCCTGATTAAACATTCTCAGTAAAACCGACCCTGATTCAACATTCCCAGTGAAACCGCCCTGATTAAACATTCCCAGTAAAACCGCCCTGATTAAATATTCCCAGTAAAACTGCCTTGATTAAACATTCCCAGTAAAACTGCCCTGATTAAATATTCCCAGTGAAACCGCCCTGATTAAACATTCACAGTGAAATCACCCTGATAAACACATTGCCAGTGAAACCGCCTTGATTAAAATATGCACAGTGAAAATGCCTTGATTAACACTTTCACAGTGAAAATGCCTTGATTAACACTTTCACAGTGAAAATGCCTTGATTAATCATTCCCAGTGAATAGCCTTTTTATAAAAATAATAAAGACTTCATATGAAGTAAATAAATAAGTTTTACTACAGAAGTAATTACACTAGAGTAACATTCTATTGATGAAAATCAGCAATACTTTCATATTGAAGTGTAAAGTCTGAATTTTGATTCAATTAATTGGCAACATAATATCTACAGAAATTCAGCTAACATCAGTTGCTTCAAAGATCAATCATTGATTTCCTCAGACTGCCATCAAGGGCATCCAATGTAATCTTTGAAAATGCATCATTAACAAAATATTCTGAAAAAAAAATATCAAAAGGGGACAATCTCTGTAAGAACCCACTGGAACAGAGAAAAATGCATTCAGGGAACACCTGGTAATTTCTAGTAAAATTAATTATCAATATATTAATTACAATACAAACAAAATCACCTACCTTCATCACTATCGTTCCGGGAAAGAGAAGGAACCAGACTCTGAGCACGTTTCCGTTCAATCACTGTCGGTGGTACCCAAAACTTTTCACTGGCATCGGCAGTTGGCGAACTGGGACTACTCCCCATCTTGCGGACGTTTAGGAGCCATTCGGTTTTTAAACTCCCTGCCCGTATCCCTCTGCCTTTGGCTGTCCCAGACATGAATGAAATTGCTTGGTCCCTCCGCAGTAGTGGACTCACCTGGTCCGAACACCTCTCTTCCAAAAGTGTACGTTCATACCAGTTGAGCCGGTAACGTTTGGAGCAGAACACATACAGAACCACTATGACCAGAGTGAGTACAACGGCTGGTATGCAGGCATACACTGCTATTAAATAGCCCGGTGTGCTTTGACTAGTCATCGTCAGCGCAGGCTGAACGGGATTATCTCCCTTGGATAAGATTGTTTTCAGCCAAATGAGTTTTCTATTAGAAACAGTGGGGAGGGAGCTAGATGGTGTTTGATATGAATGGCTTATTCATTGTGATTAGCAGGTGAGGGACGCTCTGCAGGGAGTTGGTGTGACAGGTCGGGATTAAGCACCTGGAATAAAGAAGGATTGTTATTAGAGATGGTTTTGTTGTTCACAGCATTCCACGGAAAGATAGGTCATGTTATGTGGCCTATACATTCATAGGTGTGTCGGTGTGTTGGTGTGTCGGTGTGTCGGTGTGTCGGTGTGTATGATGAAAGCATAATTTACAATATAGAAAAGTACAGAGTACTTACCTGAGTGATTCTATTGTATCCTTCATTGATAGGTGTGTCAGTGTGAATGTGAAAGGATGTACAATATAGAAGAGTATAGGGCTCTTTCACCTGTAATTTTAATGCACACAGTTCCTAGCTTGTGTTTAGTCAGTGGAAAGGAGAAGCGTTCATGCTTGACTGAGTGAGTAAGTGCGTGTTAAGACTGGCAGATAATTCTTTTAGACACAGTCCAGGTATTTCTATAGAAAGTAGGATCAGAATCAGTGAACAATTTTACACAAACATTATTGACTATAGAAGGTCAATTGCTTATTTGATATGTACATTCATTTGTTTCTTTCCGTTCTAGTTCATTTGGTCACATTGGTTAAAATCAGATATGTAGGAAGATCTCACCCAAATTCCAAATATCAATTTTGTGCCATAATTCTTACATTTTCAAACTATGTTTTTATTACCTGACCTAAAATATTCATTCATAATAAAGGTTCAAATTATAAACCAACTTGTATAAACTAGCTGAATTGAAACGAAATATTTAAAAAAAACAAAAATACAATATGTTACAAATATTTAACTTTCATCACGTTTCTATGGAAACAGATATTTCATGCATTACTGAATCTAAAACAAATAACCATATTGTGATAACAACATAAAAACAACAACAATTGGCATAAACTTGCACAGTCCATTCACGCCAGGCCAACAATTATTCTAAACTACAACTGCAGGGAGACTCGGTGGATTATCCAGTCAGCCCCCTGTGAAAGCCATGTCATTTAATCAGTGGAGACTAATTGCTAAACTGGGGGATTAAAGAAAATTACCAGGCGGATTAACCTCACATCCATTCAAAACATGACATGAGATATAAATCTATAAATGTAGCATCACATATGTTTCAGGTATATTTTGTTTGATATTTTATTTTATGTCATTTTCACGTACACATGGCAACATAACATATAAGGGCATACATTCATCATTCATAAATGTATACAAACATATATCATAATTCTTTGTTTAGGGATTCAAACTATTTTGCAACTGAGAGTCTTTATGAGTATATAGAAGTGGGATGTAAATATAACAAGGAATATTATGGTAACAACTTCTGTATTACACGTACACAACATTTCAGGGCTACTTCTTGCCCTGTATCATCAGCTGAATGACAAGGAGGGGAACATAGATATATATATACAGATGAAGCAATATGTATCAAATTATACAACATAGATATGCGATAAGTCGCAAAGAACATTGAAGAACGAAGAGTTGTTTATTTCACAGTAAAAAATTGTTCTGTCATGATGTCATTTCTGGCGATTCGAACATGCGCTTGCAACTTCATGACGTAGTTTGGACAATGTTATTTTGAGAGGGAAGGGCCTAGTAAGTTGTTCCCCATAAATGTAGCTGGGCAACGTAGATAAATGCAATGGTCGAACAAACGAATCCAAAAGTTGGAGAGATATGACAATCGGTATTCGGAAAAAAAACCAACAGATTATCAATGAAAATTGTGTGAATATGAGGGAAAGACCATAATTTTACCCCCCCTGTTGTCCAACTTTGCCACAGTTGTAATCTATTCAGGAAGTCCTTATCTAAATGCAGGTAAATATTTTTTAAAGCATATACTTCTTACTAATATCCTTAAGGAGGCTGTACTTAATATTGATATCTCATTTAAGAAATAAAAGACTCGTGGTCATTATTGTAAATAAATAACTACCTGTGGTCATTTATTTCTAAAATAACTGGCTTTGTTTGTATGCATATAATAGGTCATGTTACCCCGGCCAGTCATTCGCCTGCTGAATTGTGTATGTATAATAAAGATGTTATAATCTATAATAACACCCTTTGTCAAATTTTGCAATTCATGTGTATGTGTAAAAGATTAATGTTTCCGAATCAAAAAGTTTCCAGAGGAAAGAATATTCATTTTGGAAAATTATCTAGTGTGGGTAAGATACCGGCTGTGGAAATAATATCCTTGGCAAACATTTCTACCAGAAATTTGTACCTAGGTTATTTCTTTCTCCTGGAAAGAATCTCCAGGAGGAATAAATATCCTATTACACATGCGTATTTCACGACTGCAGTGAGACAGGGATTTGTCATTTATTCAATGTGGAGGAGAGCCAGGCATCTATGTCTATTCTAATCCCAGAAGGATGTCTTCTAGGGTAATGATTGTCCAAGTGGGGAATTGTCTTCTGGGGTAATGGTTGTCCAAGTGGGGAATTGTCTTCTGGGGTAATGGTTGTCCAAATGGGAAATTGTCTTCTGGGGTATAAATGTCCACATGGGGAATTGTCTTCTGGGGTAATAATTGTCCAAGTGGGGGATTGTCGTCTGGGGGTAATGGTTGTCCAAGTGGGAATTGTCTTCTGGGGTAATAATTGTCTACGTGGGGAAGTATCTGACACTCGCAACACATCCATCAACATGCATCTCATCTCAACCCCATGCAGCTTGACCGTGTCCAGTTCCTGCCACCAATCAACATCTCTAGGACATGGCTGAGAGATCAGACTGACACTTGTCAACTCCACATACCATATTTATCGCAGTGAGCATTGCACTCCAATAACCAGTCACCTCTCAGTCTGCCTGCAGCTTATTCTGTCTACAGCTTACAATACACATAACAAGTTCTATTGGGATTAGTTCCACATGACTGAATGCTTACTGAATACCTGTCTTCCCTTTCCCACATAGACTAATCCTTTCAACACAAAATATAAAAACCTGTATATAAAGAAATGTGAATACATATCAGTCTGAGAGATTGTCAACTCCTCGAATGGATATCAACAGAGCGGCCAAAGAAATTCTATCAATTCAAAATGAAATCCTGTCAATACGAAAATAGAACTCCTATCAAAAAGAAAGCAGAAATTGATCATACGAAAACTCCCAATAGATATGTGTACCCTACTCACACACATAAGTCGAAAAGATGGACAGGTCAGCCGAAATTGCTAAGGTAGAAGGCGACATCTTAAACACTTAAAGCAACAACAATATCAACTTATCTTGTCTCATAAAATGCAGGTCCACAGAAAGAAGAGTGAGTGAGTTGGTTTTAAAGCGCTTTTAATAGTATTCCAGTTATATCGCGGCGTGTCAGCTGAATGTGGGAGGAAAGCTCGAAGTGATGCAGGTCTCAGACGATTAACACTTCGGTGAAACCCACGAGCATGGGTAGGGTGCTGACAAACCTAGAAAGATAATCGGGGCAAACCGGGAATCGAACCCACAATCATAGGTTTCTGACGTGCCCAAGGGACGCACCTCTGCAAAGCGAATCGCGTACCTTAGACGACTGGGCCACCCCTGCCCCCCACAGAAAGTAGAATATATTTAAAACTTCTCAGGCTGGTGGCCATCATGCCTTTCATGATGTTTTTTTATATAGACTGAATGTACAGCGTGAAGTGTACTAGTGACGTGATATCATGTATATGATAATGATGTTATTTTGTCTTCAATGAAATATGATAAATGTGTCACAGCAACTGATTTGGGACAATTGTCTGAATGAACATTTAATTCCAAAGGCTAATTTCCCTGTGGCCATGACATGTATAGGTCATTACCTATGATATGCTGATCCCAATTGTTAATCCCCATTGTACATTGACTGTCAGCCATCCTGAACAAGCTGTGCAACTATGTCACTGATTAACTACTGTTGTTTATATTAAAGACTTAATCCATGTCAGGTGACCTTGGCTGCATTAGCCATGGTCCAGAGATGAAAATCAGAGGTCTTACCCTCAGCCTAGCTAGGGCTAGGCTGGGTGCTCTGGGCACCAAGACAACAACCACTACCACTTTGTGCTGACCCGGTATATAGTGCTTCTTGTATGTATATATCTACTTGTATCTACAAGCAAATTGTATATACTGCAAGCCATCGACTTGATGTTACCAATTCCTACCAAGAGACCCGTGACGATTCTGGGGTAGAATAGGTCTTCAGCTACCCATGCTTGCCGTAAAAGGTGACTATGCTTGTCGCAAAAGGCAACTAACGGGATCGGGTGGTCAGTCTCGCTGACATGGTTGATATATGTCATCGATCCCAATTGCGTGGATCGATGCTCATGATGTCAATCACTGGATTGTCTGGTCCAGATTCGATTATTTTATAGACCGCCTTCATATGGCTGGAATATTGCTGAGTGTGGCGTTAAACAACAAACAAACTTCCTACCGAGAACCATGTGCCGACCAAATACACATATGAATATGCAAATAACATTCATCAACTTCACACCAACACGTGGTTAAATGCATTACAAATGAAAGATGTTGACACAAATAAGTGTATAATTACTGTATTCGACGTAATAAGCGCCCCGCTCTAATAAGCGCCAACAGCGATATTTGCTAATATATTGGCCAGTGAACAATCCCAATTAACACCCCTTCCAATTGATCAATGTACACAAGACTTATATGTTCATGTATTATACGCACTTGTGTGTTATATGCACCTTTAATTATGGGCAATTATATTCTGGAAAATATATCTGTTGTGTATAATACACACAGACTTTCATATGTATCATTTCAGGCTGTCAGTATAAACCACGAAATTTATAAACTTTCAAAATTTTATCCTAATAAGAGCCCCCTATTTCTAATTTTGAGAGAGCTCTGGGCGCTTATTGCGTCGAATACGGTACTTATGATGTGATATCACGTATGATAATGATAGGAATGCAATGCAAATGAAAGATGAGATTAAAAACTTCCTAATCTGATAATTTGTTTCTGTTGTTCTTGTTTAAACAAATGGACAGTCTCAG